GGAATTACGGACAACATTTTAGCGTGTTTGAAACTCATTGAGTTATTCTGACATAATGGCCACACAATACTAGAAGCACTTTAACTGTTTATTGACGTTTACGGCAATTTGAATCGCATGCTAGCACAAACTAGTATTCTTACGATATTATATCATGTCTTATTGATCGTGCAAGTTTTGAATGAGGGTATTTGAATTTGATAAAATATCATCTGCAATAATTAACATTGAATGTATTTATTTTACGAAGCATTGCATTGATTATAATAATATGGCAATAAAACTAAGTCTGAAAATGTGCCAAGTGTAACTGACTTTAAGGCAAACACCGGGCATGAAGGAGGTATTACAATAATTACGCGCTATCCTACATTTCTACTAACCTCTTTTGATGGGGTTTCATCACCTGACAATAAGAAAGAAAACTAGAAATCATTTATTTTTTATACTTCTAATAATACCTTTCAATAATCAGATATTATTTGACTGTACAGTTAACGTCTTTTACTCCAGTTCCCGGCTCCAGGCTTAGTTTCTATTTTCTCCGTGATACAGGGTTGAAGGTGGTTTGTACCACGGAAAATAGGCGTGAAACAATGCTTGCGTTATGTGCTGCCGTGGCAGTGAGGTACCTAACTGAAGGCGCGACCAAACCTACAAATCCAGTCCTCAATCCTTAAAGGCCGGTAACGCACTTCTTACCTCTATGGGTCTCCTCCATCGACACCAATTAGGTACTTACCACCAGGTTATATGCCATAAATGGCATGCATTGTATTTGTAAAGAAATAATAAGAAATAATATAATAAATCTGAAATTTCTAAGTTTTGTGTAAAGTAAGTGATTGCAGTTTTGCTGGCAGTCAAGACCTAATTTACTATTTGCTGTGCCCATCAGGGTCCATGATTGTTACTATACATATTATTACCATCTTATTTTACATTGTGGATGCATAAAGAATTATGATTATGATTATGATTATGACCTAGGTATACAGCCTCTAGTAACCCACTAATCAATGAGAACAACGGACGGGCTAAGTTTGCCAAATAGCATTCTTACTTCTTAACAGTTGGCTAGCAAGTTAATTATATCGTAACGAAAGTATCCTACCTATATATCTTACTAATTCATTGTCTTGAAGAGTCGAAATAATTTATTAACCTAGGAAACTACCCAATTGCACCCGGTAATATACGGCAACAGGCTCGCACAGACTCCTTACATAACATAACGGTTTACTTACTCTATGTACATAACTGGCAAAAACTTTGTTTATCCCTTTGAAGAATATCTATTAGGCGTGCATTATTTGTTACTATAGCATAGGTAGGTAAAAATAACAAAATATCGATGTTGTCGAGAAGACAAAACTAATAATTTACTCTAGAAAGGTAGCGATAAAATTATAAGATAAAGTTTAACACATTCAGTGCCCCCGACGCGTATGTGCGTTTCCTCGCACGCACATACGCGCCGGGGGCACTGAATGTGTTAAGATGTAGAGGAGTACGTACCTATGTATATTTTGGCCAATTATGTCTAATTACGATCAAGCTATCCAGGAAATGATTATGGGGTTTGCAGTTAGATAGTAAAGGTACTGGTCCCACCCTCAAGATTCCAATAGATAGATCATGAGGTCAAAATATCAACGGCCTCACAGAATACCGGCGTAAAGCAACCCACAGCGTTGTGTTTCGCCGTCTAAGTGAGGTTACCGGAGGCCCAATCCCTCCCATCCCCTATCCTTTCCCAATCCTTATATCCGCAACCCCTATCCCCAAAAGGCCGGCAACGCACTCGTAACTCCTTTGGTGTTGCGGGTGTCCATGGGCGGCGCCCATTGCTTACCATCAGATAATCCGTATGCTCGTTTGCCGACTTACAATAAAAAAAAATCAAAACATGACTGAAAGTTTCTGCTACTGTTTCAATGACTCAAAGAGTCAAGACAGGGTACAAATAACCTGTCAAATTCAAAACTGACTGATTTTCCAACAAATAACACCATCAAAGTGGAAGTGGACAGGCCTCTTGATGCGTGACACAAAGGGCGAGCGGAGCAAGGCAGTGAGTAGGTAATTCCCAAGAGACGGCCAAAGAGATCGGGGGAGGCTGCCTACACGCAAGAAGAAAGAAAATAATTAACAGCAGGTCCATCGAATGACATAGATTTTGTATTTTAAACAAGCTAGGTATGTCGCTGAACTTGTTTTCTTAACCATACCTACTTTCTAAATAGGTTTCATGTGTATGTTTATTAAATGGGTTTTCCTCTCCAAATATCCTAAATTTCCGTTCCAATTTGGAGAAATTGGGAGCCAATGTTAGCAGTTGCTTCAACTAGATATTAAACTTAACAACCTCTTGTTTAAGACTTGACACTTTTAAGAAGAAAACATTGTTGAGACACCTGCGGCCCGGACTAAGCGTTTTGCCTCGTCATTTTTACCGTGTAGGTACATCGAGGGATTGGAACAGTTTGCCGGCTGCAGTCTGCAGGCTAGAGTGAATAGGCTCATAATAAACTAGTGCGCCTTACCATCAACGATTGCATCACTGCTTACCATCAGGTGGGATCGCAGTCAAGCACTAGTTTATGGCAAGTAAAAAATTAAAAAAGATAAATAGGTAATTTTGTCATTAAAAAAATTCTAATGATTGGTTCCTGTATCAATTCTAACAAGTCGCGGTGGCCCTGAGATTAAGACCCGCTTCTCATGCATGAGGGTGCGGGCTCGAAACCTGACAAGTACCAATGTGACTTTTACTCCTCTCTACCAATGTGACTCTTTTTCCGAGTTATATGTTCCTATTCTCTCTGATTATAAGACACCACAAACATACGGCGAAGTAAAACATCGTGAGGAAAACTTGGACTCAGTAATTATAAGATTGAAATCGCGAACGAAAAAATCGTGGTGTTTAATGCTCAAACCTTCTCCGTGGTGCTAAGCAGTGGGCACTTATAGACTGATGATGAGGATAATGAAAATGATAATCAATTGATATATAAGTTGCAAGTATGTATATTAGAATTGATCACCGTATTTACATTATTTAATTAATAATTTATGTTATTTTGAAATGTTGCATGAAAATCAATCACGAACATTCCATTGGCAATGCATCGATAGGTACTCCTCTTTCACACTTACCTTAACTATTCTGTGTTACCATGGGAAGTGTAAGCCCTAAGGTAGGGTAGAACTTTCTATAGAATAAAAAAGAGAGAAAAAATCTTATTATATTATAAAGTGAAGATTACTTACAGACAAGTAGTGCATTATTTGTAACTTTAGACACCGTCTGTCCTGCGATGGAACCCTCTGTGAATTGCACGCGCAGTTGACCGGTTTCCATATCAATACCAACGTGTTGCCTAGTGATATAGGATCTTTTCTTTATAAATTTTATTGCTAAGCCTAAGTTGCTGAGTAAATATTGATCGTTACTTTCAAATTTTTTTATTGGGTACTTTGTTGGGTAGGTAGATACAGTTCACTGATTTTAATGCTGTTATTTTTTTTATGTGTGATGGAACTGTCTGCCTTGTTGATTCAATTATTGATTGTTGGATTTTAATTATCTGATAAATAAGAAATGAAACATACGAGTTTTGGATGGCGTCTAAGAATTTAACAGTGACACAAAACTGCTTACTTCTTGAAGACATTAATTGCCTGATGTTATTTAGTTTGCTGCCTACTACGTTTAATGGAGGTATGCAAGTGTTGTGTGACTATTGTAATACGTATACTACTTTTACATCTAAGTAGGTACGTAAGTAAAAGGAAAAAAATCTAAAATACTCTAATTAATAACGTGGTTGGTGTACCAATGCTATAAATTCTGGTGAATTGCAGTATTCGAGTAAATGATTCGGGCTTGTTTCATTATAAATTATTGAGCATTAGTTTGTTACAAGGTTTTAGACTTAAAAATATATTTTAAAAAAATCTGGCTAGGTTAAACATGCATACCTAGTTCAAATTAAAATAAAGGTCTAATTATAACACGCACTTTAATTTTTCTAATGCTTTACATTCACCGAGCCCCTTTTCCAGTGTAGCCTATTTGTAAATGCGCCTGGAGAGCGTATGAAAGCAAGCAAAGGAGAAAGCTGCCCAGTCTAGCGTCTAGCGGAGACCAAAGCAGCCCTTGACGCTTTGATTATGACTTGCCTCATTAAACTACTCTGTATAGGTACCTTACGCTGCAAAACCATTAGTAACCTCAGTAGGTAAAGTTGGGCTTAACTCCTAAAGTCCAAAGTCTTAAAAGGTATTTTGCCGGTTATTTTTTACGCTCTGGAGTTGTAATAAGGCAGGTAGATTTCGTACTACCACTTAATATTATCCTGCGTCTTCTTGTGCTTTTACATAGGTATTTCATATACGAATCAAAATTCCCTAAGGAAGGGTACCGGCGGACCTGTAGCTCATTTCACAACAATTTTGTGAGCCACAGTGCTAACCAGACCAATTAAAATAAAAAATTGTCTTGTCAATAAAAAAATAAATAGAGTTAAAATCTTATTTCATCCATTTTTCTTTTATAAGATACATTTATCTAAAAAATATTAAGTAACTCCACTAATAAGTAGTTTGCAAAATAAATGGTATATCTTAATGAAAACAGACTGATAACCATAAACGAGTATTATTGTAGTCATGAGTAATATTCAGTGGTAAAGATGTGTAATGGTGGATATCCGCAAGTACCTAGGTATAGGTAACGTGGGATGAAATCATCACTAATGTCGATGACATTTATAATTGCTGCGTAAAAAGGAACGTTATTTTGTAACAAGGCAGAGTTATCCAAAATTTCGATATATTTTTGGTATAACATGTTATTTAAATGTTCGATCGTCATTTTTTAGTAAATACTTTTATATTTAATAAAATTCTTTATCAATCATAGATACGAAATCGGCAACTGTGAATCTACATCTGGTATTACTGACGAAGTCGCCATAGACATTATTATATACAAACTTGGTCACACTGAATTCTTCAGTCAGTCAAAAATGGGGCTGTTGTCAATTTATTTCAAACCCAATTTTTTGGGTTTGTTAAAATGTTTAAACAAATTAAATTGGTTCATTGTGTTCTTTAGTTTAATTAATTTATCGGTATGCATTTACGAAGACCAGATCGGTAAATTCGACTGGTAAGTGAAGATTTTAGGTTATAGTATTCCTATGTCATTGAAGGCTCTGAGTTGACTGAATTTTTAATGAAATTATGATTTTCAGGCGTCAAACATACGTAGGAAGGATTAAATTTTCCCAATTTGACACAGTATCCACAGCCAAGAAGATAATTGTCGCTACCGAAGAAAATGTTTTGGCAGCACTGAATCTAAAAACTGGTAAATTGATTTTATTGAATGTATCCGTTTTATACGTACCAAACCGGCGTTACTACGGTAGTCTACATATTTAACAGAGGGGCACATGTTCGTTAATTAATTCAATTATTAAATTTATTACAGTAATAGTAGATTGAGCATAAATATCTTAAATAATACTTAAACCCAATATTTGTTGAAATTGCCCAGTCATTGCGGCCTCATCCTCATCTATCTAACATTATTTTTATAATAACAATCATCTTAACTCCTGCCACTTAAAATAATATAGCATTTGAACTCATTGATACTTATTATTTTACATACAAATATTTTTATGTGTAAAATGTAAAATAAAAACAACAGATACTAGTTACTTCTAAATTGGACTTAGTTGAATGTTTACCTACACTAATAAAACAACATAATTAGTAGAAACTATAACATGTTATACAGTAAAAAACAAATCATAAACAGCTTATTGGATTTTCCTCAATGCACTCAAGTATAAACTGAAAAATACATGCTAACTTGCATTATTATTATAGGTATTAATGTACCAGATATCAGAATCATATCAATGTTTTTCTTTTACTAAAACATAATTCGAGATTGAAAAGACTGATACTTATTGAATTCTAAAAACCTTTTAGTTGTTAATTTTATTGTATTCTATTCAGTTAAAGTGAGTCCTAAAATTGGGTAACTTTTACCATGGGTAAGCTTGTATCAGATCCAGTAACTGTAAATGTTTATAAACATTTATGAGAATGGGTATCTTCAATAGCATACTTTCATTGGTATTTGTATACAAAACTATTAAATTGGAGAACATATTCAGTAGCATATGATTTTCTTGGCAGCAAATCATAAAATCACAAATGTAATTTTAGACATAATTTTTGAATAGATACCTATTTAGAAACTACAGGAACTATAACACTTATATCCACAGGCCTTTCTAAAAGCAAAATGTTAAATAACATTGTTGTTTAGAGTCTAGGTATAATATATGAATATTATTATATGTAGTAGTGTGGGGTATAGATGATAGGTGAGATATTGATTATTTTAAAAAGTGAACTTAATCATCTTTTACTTAAATCCCTGTATTACCTAAAGGTTGACTCTGAGGATATACCTAAGGTACTAAGTTGGCTTGTACAAGCTTAAGCTTAAGTTCCTCACATCCAATTAGCTGAAGGTGACAAAACTCACCAGTTGCAATAAAACTCTTTTATGATGATGATGATAAAGGGCCATTTTTACTCACCAGGTGGCACTAATGTAGAGTAAGGTCTGGCTTTCTTATCATAAATTTTTTGTCTAATGATGTGATGTTGCTTGGTAACTCTCTTATCTTCTAATTTGTCAACAAAGTTAACTCCCGGTTTCTGAAAGGCTTGTCAATGCTAAAATTAACTAATCTCCTGTTAAATCTCTTGTCAAGTCATCTGATTGGTTATTGATAATTCAGTCAACCAATCAGATGACTTGACAAGAGAATAAATTGATTTTAACATTGATTGGCCTTTCGGAAACCGGGTGTGTATGTCTGTGATGGGAGCTAAATAGAAATTGTGTATGTGTGGTCATGTTTGTTTATAAGGAAGTAATTTGTTTAGTCCCCTTGTTTTGTTTATATGTTTCTATGTTATACCTATATAAGCCTGTTTACATTATATTAAGTAATTTTGATCAAATATTTCTCAGGTCAAGTGGTATGGCGTCATGTGTTCGAGAGTGCCTCTACAGGCAACATTCAGCTCCTACAAATAACAGAGAAAGTGGTCACAGTCTCCGGATCCAACCCTTACTTGGTACGGGGATGGAACTCTGCTACAGGTATGAATTACAAAATCCGAATTTTGGATTGTTTGACAATAGCATCTAATATTATTATGAATTACTATTTTAAGTAGTATTTTATCATCCCCACACAGTTAGATAACAGTTTATTAATTAATATTTCTGAAAATTGAAATGCTTTAGTTTTTTAATGATAATTTCCAACAACATTTTTATTATAGGTGACTTATGCATGACTGTTACTAAATAATCCTCTGATTTGTTTCAGGGGTCCTCCAATTTGAATGGTCTCTGACTCTTCAAAATGATGAGCAAGCAGACTTCTCGGAATGGTGGGTGCAGAATGACATGTTGGTTCACATGCTGCCAGTTTTTGGGTCACATATTGAAGTTACCATGTACAACCTCGCCACTGGACAGAACAGGGGATCCACTACCAAGTTGCCTGCTGTATGGTCCAATGATGGGTAAAGAATATTTTCTGAACATTTTTAACTTTACAAGTTCTGATTGAATTAACACATAAATTAATTGAATTTAAAAAATGTAGGACTTAGATTTGTGTATTGGGGGGAAGCGCCACACTTCTAAGTGTGAAGACACCTTTACTAAGGCTGAATGGTTGAATGTCTTACTTGTACTTTACTTTGATCTACTTTATTATTGTGTATGCAATTGGATATATTGTTTGTGATGTTTTTTTCTCAGTACCTACTTTGTAGTCGTCATATTAATATTTACTTTTCCTATCGTACATGATAATGAGATGAAATGCAAAACAATATCTTTATATTCTTTAGATAAACAATAATTTGACTTTGACCCCATTTGGCGTTAAACTTCTAAACAATAATTTTACAGTATTGTATATTTGATTATTACAGATGCATAGTAACAGCGCCATACTACACCTGTGTACATGGCCCGAGAGGTAATCAACAACTGTTCTCTTTGGATGTGACATCAAACACAGTCCAGGTTATAAGCCAACCACTTTCGGAATATGTTACATCACCTTCTTATGGAGGTAATCTGCAACCAGTTGATGGCAATAATATTATACCAGCATTCACAGTAGACGATAAGAAGATTATTATAATAAAGAATAATCGGTTTGAAATGTTGAAGACTGATGTGGTGGATCCGTCGGCTAGCGTGGCGTTGATAGATATCGCGAATGGTCCAGTTGTTCTACAGACTTGGATCGATGATACTCAGGTAATTTTGAATTTTAATTGTGTTACTCTTCTGTTCTGTATGTCTCTGTTATGATGTGATCTGTTATGAATACAGTTACAATTACAATATTTTATAAAGAAAAAAAAAACATTTATTTCAATGAGACAAAAAAAGCTTAATGATAAAAAGTGCCAGTCTCTCAGTCAGCCCTCTTAGTGAAGCTATTTGCTCATTGCAATGTAGAAGAACAACCAAGAAATGGTTATTCTTTTTAAATCTGTTTTACATACAGTTTCTTTGGTACATTATCTTAATAATGTGTTGTGAATACTTATATACATATAACATAAAAACCCCAAAGAATGATCAAGTTGATGATCTCATTGGACTTCACCTATTTCGAAGCTTTTCGGCACGAATCCTTCCCCAATTGCTAAACCGCCGAAACCCTAACCCTAAACAAGCCGGCAACGCATTCGAAACTCCTATAGTGTTGCGGGTATCCTTTGGCAGCGCCGATTGCTTAACAGCAAGTAATCTGCTAGCTTGTAAACTGCCCATCATGTAAAAAAAGTTAGATAAACTGTTTATACTTATTTTACAACACGTACCTTCCATTCACGTTGAAGGGCTTCTCAATGCGAGCTAACAGCGTGTCTACGGGCGCGGAAGTGGCAGAGCTGCGCACGTCGGACCGCGAGCTGAAGCTGCCCGAGCCGGAGGTTTCGTCCGCCGTCTGCACCAAGTCCGCCCGGGAGCAGCTCGTCTGCAGGATACTGCTCACCGGCGGAGACGACTCCGTGCATCTCATGCAGCAAGGAGGTACGATAAGAATGATGATAGTTATTGTTGCTGAAAATAGGCTATCAAAATACAATTTCACCCATCATAATTTTATTACCTACACCGGAATTTACTTAGATGTCTGTGAGTCCGAGTTGTCAGTAGTGTCTGTAGTTGTTATATCAGTATGGATTGTATTATGTACCTCGAACAAATAAAGTCTTAATTTTCTGTGGAAGAAAGGTTAAAAAATAGGTTGGTGGTCTTCTTGAATGTCAAGACTGTGTAGTGTGTATTGACCTTTTAATCGTGGTAATTCGAGACACAATAGAAGAACAATAGGTTTGCGAATGCCGGCGCTCGCTTAGGATTTGATTAATTAATAATAATTACGAGAATGTTATTATGTTAATTATATGTTTGTGAAGAATTACATTCCATTTGTAAGTTTTAAAAAATAATAGATGTGGACGACTCATATAAATCCATGCACAAAGCATGGATTTATAATGAAAATTGTAATTATATTTTTAGGTCGCATATTATGGTCCCGTGAGGAAGCTTTGGCGAACGTCGTGGCCGCCGAGTTCGTGGAGCTGCCAGTATCAGACTTGGATGCTGCTATTGAGTCCGAGTTTGACCAGAAAGAAGGTATGTTAACGTTAAATAACATATTTGCCTTTATACTTTAACCTATATATAAATCAGAAATTGCTTTATATTCTTACATAACATACAAATATGAGAGCTTTCTGAAATGTGCCCCGTGAGATGGCAGCTCTGTAGCCTCAGGTCCAACTACCATCTAAATACATACATATTTCGGTAATTTATATTAACAACATTATTTCCAAAATACCACAGTGTTGTGCGGTGTTTATGTGTTATCCTTTGAGCTTTATCTTCAGTTCGGCAACCTTTCTTAGGCCGTAATCCATAATAAAATCAATGATACTCCCAAATACAAAAAAAAATACTCAAAAAATTATACATTCGATAATAGTCTGGACCTGACGCATAAGAAGCGCCGCCTGTGGCAGAAAATGTATCGAAACCCCTCATTAAATAATGTGCTTACTTACAAAAAAATATATTATATAAAGCTGCTTTATATTATGCTCTAAAGTGATTTTCATCTTAGAAAAGGCCATTTATGATAAAAATTAATGATATTCCATTTAGAACATTTTCTTATTCTAAACAATATGATATACTAAACATATTATTATGTAATTATTGTTTATTCTGTAATAATATTTATTTATTCATTATATCTTATGTTCTAGCTGCCAAGATGTATAGTAAGTACTGTAGATGTGTGGTAGTGTGTTATTTTGAGATTCTTTCCCCCTTATTACAAAACAAGATTTATCTTTAGTCTAGGTTTAAACCGTAGAGTCAGGTTTTGAATCTTATTCTCACCTTACTTCAATTTGAAATACAAAAACTGGCTCAATGGTTTAGACGTTTGAGTTTAAAAATTTTTTTTTTTGTGTGTAATGTAACATAGAACTGTTTGAATTAAACAAGTGAGCACGATAGACACGTTTATGACGTGCGGCGCTGTGATTGGCTTAGTCCAAGTTAACCAACCAATCAGAAAGCTAAACGCAATGCCGGTTTGAACCATGGTTTGCTTGGTTGGTTGGTTGGTCACAACCGCGTGGTTTGCTTTACCTTACAAGGCACCCCGGTTGTTACTTCAGTTTTTGAACATGTTCTTCTATTTTACTTTATATTATTTTTTATCATTAACAGAATCGAGGCCTTACATTTGTCGTTACATTTATCTCGATATTTCCCGTTATATATTCATTACTAATTCAGCCAAAAGACTGCTAAAATATCTAAGTCTTGTTCTATTTGAGATAATATTTAAAAGCAATAACATTATCATGTCACATTGTCAGTTATCTTACTCCTCCGAAACGGCTTAACTGATTTTTACCAATTTTTATATGCATTATCAGTACGTATGAGAATCGGTTGCCACTAGTATGTTTAACATAATGTCTGCCACTAACTCTCATTATGCTAACAAGCTGATTTCAGTATTTCTTTCATTCCTATTTTCAACTGATCCCAAAGTCCAGTTATCTTCCGAAGTCGAGTAAAGTATAATTTCATTTTGGTATCTAACATTTTTAGTTTTGTAGAGTAAAAATCGTGCTCAATTTATAGTGTTAATATCCGTTTGTAAGACACCCATAACTCAGTTATAGAGTGACGAATCGCTTCAATGTATTTTCAATTTAAATGCATCGGAATAGACTTGAATTTATGTTAAGCTTTTGATATTGTGTAGTCAGCCAAATTATTTAGAACCCTTACCTGGATTTAAAAGGATTCATTCAGTACAGAAATAGTTTTAAAGAAAAGCATAAGATTATATATACAATATACCTCTCAATATATTGTTACGTGCCTGACTATGCGGGCTTGGGTTACGGGATTGGATGAAATGAAACACTAATACCGGTTTTCAGACTTTCTATTGCACTTAAGTTACAGCGTCCACGGAGTTAAGTTATCGGCGTTCCTCTCCAGCAGAGTACGGCCGACTGACACAACTTTGCCGTTCACGCTGACTTAACTCACTTAACTGACTGCACTGCACTATTTCACTGCACTTCACTATTTCACTCACTTTTCTTCTTTCTCACTTCTTCCTTTTCTTCCGAATCGCTTTAGACTTAGAACTCAACTGCCAGCGGTGAGCCGCAGTTCCGCTTATATACCCCCGGTCAGGTTCTGGAACATTCAATTTCGTTATTCTTTTTGATCGTCATGCCTCCAGAACCTTCCAATAATTTCGTTATTCATTTTTATTTATTCTCCTTCTCGCTCTTTAATTTTTCATTTCTGTCACACAAATAATTCCAGAAAGTTCGACAAAACTTCCATCAACTAAAAAACTTCATGTTTACGGCGGGGCTCGAACTCGGGGTCTCTGTGGTGTAATCCACACGCCTTACCGATTAGGCCAACTCGTGTTGACAATTCACGACGAAATTTACAATCTCTAGGCAACGTTTGACAACCATCCATTGACGTCATGATGTCAAAGAGTTTGAACCACTTTTCCGTCACACTGCCCTCCTCTTAGATTTGCTCGTCCCGAGCATCGTTGCTGCCGTAATACCTCGCCAACCTGTCTATATGGACAACTTTCAAAGGGCTCCTTAAAGTCTTCCGAATTCTGTAAGTAATGTCATTGATCTTCGTGACTATCTCATAAGGACCTTCCCAACTCGGTTGCAGCTTCGGAGATTTTCCCTTCCTTCTGACTGGATTATGAAGCCAGACCAATGACCCCTCTTCAAACCCAACAGAATTGGCTCGTCGATCATAGCGCGTCTTTGCGCGATCACTAGCTTGAAGACCGGCCTCCCTGATCTGCTCATAAATGTCCAACATTTTTGCCCTTAACTCGCTTATGTAATCGCTAAACTCGGTGCGAGAGTCGCCAGGTGGACAGCCCGATACAAGATCTGCCGGTAATCTCAATTCCCTTCCAAAATTTGCAAATGCAGGCGTCTTAGCGGTACTTTCATGTACAGCAGTCCGATAGGCAAGCAAGAAGAGAGGTATGTAAGTGTCCCAATCTCTCTGATGGCTGTCAACCACCTTTGCTAAGTGTCGCTCCAATGTTTGGTTGAAGCGTTCGATCATTCCATCTGACTGTGGATGATAAGGGGTCGTTCGAGTCTTATGGATTCCCAAAAGTTTACAAGTTTCCTGAAAAACTTGGGATTCAAAGTTCCGTCCTTGATCACTGTGCATCTCCAAGGGTACTCCAAATCGGGTGAATACTTCGTTTACCAACTTCGTCGCTACAGTTACTGCCTCTTGATTCGGTATGGCAAAGACCTCCGGCCATTTTGTAAAATAATCCATTACCACTAAAACGTAGCGATTGCCCGAATCAGTGATTGGAAATGGTCCAGCGATGTCTAAGGCTATTCTCTCCCAAGGCATACCAACATTGTAGATTTTCATCGCCCCTCTGCTTCTTGTTTGTGGACCCTTGACAGCTGCACAACTAGTGCATTTCCGGCACCAATCTTCGACGTCATATTTGCAATGCAACCAATAAAACCTCTCCTTGATCTTCACCAAAGTCCTCCTAATTCCCAAATGTCCTCCAGAAGATCCATCATGGAACGCTTTTAATACATCCCTTATTTTTGAACGAGGCACCACCAATTGCAAATGCTCGTCCTTGCCGTTTGTTGATTCCCATTTCCTGCACAGAAGTCCGTTATGCAGCGTAAGGCTTTTCCACTGTGCCCATAAACCTTTCGTTACCGCGCTATATTGGGCGACGTCACTCCAACTTGGCTTGTTACCACTTCGTAGCCACTCCAGTATTGGTTTAATATCTGCATCTCTTTCCTGTTCTAATTTCATCGCATCATTTCCCCATGCCTCGTCAACAGTATCAGTCCTTATCACCTTAAGAAAAGCAGTTTCCTTCTTAGCACAATGTTTGCAATCTTCCACGCATGGGCGTCTCGATAATGCATCTGCGTTGCCATGAATTCTTCCGCCGCGATGTTCGATTTCAAAGTCAAATTCCTGAAGTTGTTCCAGCCATCTGGCTACTTGGCCTTCGGGATCCTTAAACTGAAGCAGCCATTTCAAAGCAGCGTGATCAGTTCTGATCAAAAATTTCCGTCCCAGTAAATACTTCTTGAAATGGTGCAGGGTTTTGACTACGGCCAGCAATTCCCTCCTGGTCACGCAATAATTCCTCTCTGGCTTGGATAGTGACTTGCTGAAGTAAGCAATAACCTTCTCCTGCTCACCATCGCGTTGTGAAAGGACACCTCCTATTCCAATATTGCTGGCATCCGTATCAACTACGAATATTCCTTTCGCGCTGGGATATCCGAGAATTGGTGTGTTACAAAGCCGTTCTTTTAGTTCTCGAAAGGCTTGCTCACAATCCTCGTCCCAAACAAAGGCACGTTTCTCCTCTGTCAATCGATGCAATGGCTTGGCAATGTCCGAGAATCCTTTCACAAACCGCCGATAATACGAGCACAATCCAAGAAATGCCCGAACTTGCGTTTTGTCTTTAGGTGTTGGCCATTCCTTGACAGCGACAGTCTTGGCTGGATCAGTCTCAATTCCTCTCTCAGAAATAACATGTCCTAGATAATTCACTTCGCGCTTGAAGAAAGAGCATTTCTTTGGACTCAACTTTAAATTTGCTCCACGCAGCTTGTCGAGTACCTTTTCCAATTTCCTTAGATGATCGTCAAAATCCCGTCCAACAATGATGATGTCATCGAGGTAAACTAGGCAGGTTTCGCCCAGCAGACCCGCCAGCACCTGTTCCATCAAACGCTCAAAGGTTGCCGGTGCATTGCATAACCCAAATGGCATCACCTTAAATTGCCAGAGTCCCTTCCCAGTTGAGAATGCGGTCTTTTCCTTGTCCTTGGGATCCAAATCCACCTGCCAATAGCCGCTTTTCAGATCGAGCGTTGAAAACCATTTCATGCCACTCAGTGTGTCAAGTGTGTCATCGATTCTTGGTAACGGGTAGCTATCCTTCTTGGTTACATCATTCAATCGTCGATAGTCTACGCAAAACCTCGTTGAACCATCTTTCTTCTTGACAAGCACGACAGGTGAACACCAAGGGCTAGAAGAGGGCTCTATCACGTCATTTTTCCTCATATCGTCAATCATTTGTTCAACCTCTTTCTCACGAGCGAATGGTATGCGTCTGGGCCTTTGACGAATTGGCATTGTATCACCTGTGTTTATTTTATGCTTCACCACACCAGTTCGGCCAATATCACCATCGCTTCTTGAAAACACATCAAAGAATCGAAGAAGTAAATTTCTAGCTTTCATAGTCTCCACTTTTGTCAGACTTTTGTTTTCGTCTAAGATTTTCGTTACAAAGTCAATTTCCGTACTGTCCTTCTTCACAAGATTCTCCGAGCATTTTCTTATCCAGGCCACTTCTTCCAATACGCCCACAGGCTCTCCTTCTTCAATCGTAATTGATGAATCACTGAAGTTGAATACTGGAATGCGGTTGACATCAGATGACCCCACGACAGTTCTTGCCGGTAGCCATGAGCTTACGTGTTCCGATTTATCAATCACAGCGCACCTTCGAGGTAAACTTCCTTCCTTCCTCCTAGGTAAAGCGATTGGTACGAGAGTCTGTGATTTTGGTGCAAGAACAGTTCTTCTTAAACAGCAAACTTTTCCCAGGGTTCCACCCTTCATCGGAATTTCCTCAGTTCCACATAGTAAAACTCCAGATTTTAAGTCGATGTTACACTGGTGCCCTTGCAGGAAGTCAAGTCCCAGGATGCAGTCATCCAAAATTTTGGCCACAATAACCTCATGTCGATAAACACGTTCCCCAATTTTGATTGTTACATGCAGTTTTCCACTTATCGGTATGCACTGGCCGGTAGCTGATTTCATTCGTAGGCCAACAATTGGTTTAAGGTGTTTCCTGATGTTTTGCTCGAGCAGCCGAACATTTATCACCGTCCTTGAAGCTCCAGTATCTAATGTTAGCTGACTGTTTTTCCCATTTACTTGACCGTCTATCACCAGAGTATTTCCATCGTTGGTTTGCT